ACCAGCAGGGAGAACATAAACCTAAAGGGAAAACTCATGCTAAATTTAAAAAAATAACAAACAGGAAATACCTGAAGTGAACCAGATAAATGAAAGCTAAAGTGAAATAAACACTCCAACTTCCCTACTTTCTGCTACATAAGGCGAGTTGTTCCCACTCTGAGCTGGGAAGGTACGATGGCTGCAGGTGACCTAGACTTAGAGAAACCAGGATGACAAAGGGAGACAAGGTAGGTCCAGGAAGGGGAGGTTCCTAGGATAAGGACAAGTAGTCTTTGTCTTTGCTCAAAAAAGTGGGCCAAATAGGAAAAACATCTACATGTAAAAACCAACGCAACAAACAAACAAATAATAAAGCGTAATAAAAATCTCAGAGGACTATGTCTGGTGTAAAGACAGACACTCTATAGTTTAACAGCAATTGTGTCATAGTCTCCAACGATCAATAGGTCTGAGACTGCCAAAAGAGGGTTTAACTCATTTGCTCTGTTCTCCTTAGATGCCCACCTGGTACCCTGCAGGGAAACCTGGCTGCCCTGGCAGGAGCCTATAGGCACAGGTGGCTGGGGCAGATTCAGGATGTTTTTAAAATGGTAGGAAAAAGTAGACAGGGAGAGGCTGCCTTTTCCAGGCCAAACAGTGGGAAATATTTAGTTGGGACATTTTTCTGGTAGCAGTAGACATCCGCTTGGAAACGTAATAATTTTTTTTTCCTAATAGGTCTTTATGGTATCCAGTTGCAGTCTAAAACAGAGAATGACCATGGCACAGCTGGACAAACCATGGTGCTAGAAATGTACCTGTTTGGAAAACCTGGCTTCCAGAAATCTTTCAAGAGCTCTACAAAACCTGACAACTGCTTGCCCCACCAGAGCAGTGCCAAAATTGGTGGGGTAACAGAGCAAATACATTTTGATGCTCTTAAACTAGGCAAACACCGCAAAAACTAAATAAAATTCTTTAACAAGAAATTACCACAAAATGCAAGGATTTTCCTTGTCTACGGAAAAGGAGATCAGAAGCTAATTTTGTGACTGAGCACTTGTCCTACATAACTGAATTAAAATAAGCAGGCATAGTATGCCTATTTATAGGCACAGTTTCAAAACTGCTGACTGAAGCAGTAAGTGCAGGTACATCAGCAACTAGCAGCCATAACCAGCTTTTAGCCAAATAATAGAACTTTCCAGGCAGTTCTATTTGCATGGGAAAAATTCAATACCATTTAGCAGTTCTTGAAATTTCCTGCTTTTACACACATTCTCTCTCACAACATCTCCTGGAAAATACGTGCAAACGTTACTTTATAATGTAAACCTTTACTTAATGGCAGCTTTTAAGTCTTCTGTCAAAAACTTATCCATACACAAATGGAATACATAGGCTTTGACTCTTACTCAGCTAAACTGAAAGCGAAGACTGAACTGCATTATAGCTGAAATCTATAGATATTAAACATTTAAATAGTAAAAACAGTTGTGTTTGTCAAAAAGGATTTGTTGAAGCCATTAAATATCAGGTATTTTTCACTCAAAAGATAACTTGGCTTCTCTAAGAATGAAAATATCTGTAGGAGATACAAAGTACTTCCTACCGTTCCTACCAAAGGAACAAGTAGCTGGGTACACATTAAATCCTGTTTTCTCAAAGGCATTCTATTCTTTGTTCTTACAGACCTTTTCTGAGTACTGTATAAAGGAGATGGAAATATCAAGCTGGGATTAAATACATAATATCACCTGAACTGCTGTATTGGGTATAGCCCAATATCCACTTACAAAAGGCAAATGCTTGAAAAGGGAATGCAAGAAAAAGGGTGAAATCTTTCTCTGGTGTATTCTCCCAGCCTCTTTTAATCAACAGATCAGGAAAGCCCCGAGTAGAATACTGTTTCTTAGCCATTATGGTTAATAGTCAGTCAGAGATAGAGCTCTTCCACAAAGCTGTCTAATCCTTCTTTATGAGTATTTTTATAAACTGTTGGCCTTTTCTGGTGACAAATTCCACATTTTAAGGATGTACATTTGGCAAAAGGTGGGATGTTCTGTTTTGGTTGCTTCTTTTTCCAAACTGAAGAGTTTCAGTCAATATAACTAACAGCATCTTCTGACTGTTTTGTGTCCTTTCTAATCCTGTGTATCTTTTTTTCGAATTATAAAGCATCTGTGCTGTGTTCAAAATGTACCAGATGGGTTAATTCTCTGATGGCATAACTTGTTTTGCTCATTTCCTTCCTTACAATCACCAATATCCTGTGTGGCTTTTTGGCTGCTGTTAGGCATTTGCAATGATGTCTTATCTGTCAACAAATTCACCGCTGAATATGGTTAAAACTGTTGTTCTCCAGGGCCCCATGTGTACCCTTTCATAGGGAATCTCTCTGACACTGAGTATCACAAGGTCTTTCTCATTCTCCATGCAGCCAGGCAAAACTTTGATCACAGCAGATGATTTTGTAGTATCAGAAAGCTTGTTATTAACCTCACTGCTCCTCTCTGTTTCCAGGCAATTTTTAAAGTCAGCTGAGCACCACAGGCCTCACCAGAGACTGCTGCAGAAACCCTCTGCTAACAGAGGAACCTGATGATCTGTACCTACGTTTCATTTCTGATCCACTACTCGGTCACTCTGCCAGGCATCTTGGATTTTTAAAGTCAAAAACTTGAAAGCTTCAGTATATTATGCTGACCTTAGACCAAAGAAAGCACATATATATCAGCATGTTGCAATTCCACAGTTGGTTTTTTTTTTTTTTTTTTTATTTTTAGACAAAACACAGCTGAGATAAAGGGAGCTAAAGGCCTTTCTTCCCCCATATTCTTTTCACCTGTCATACTTTTCCAATAGGGTTCTCAAAACCACAGCTGTGGCAAGACTAAACTCCCCTGGAGACAGCACACAGTGCTAGCGACTAACTTCTGAAGATTCAGGATAAAATCTTCTGGTTGTCACACAGGTGAGATCGAAAACTTCCTCTTTCAGCATCTTCCACAAGGTCTCATCTTCCTTGGTTTCAGTTAAAAAAAAAAAACTCCCAAAACAACAAAAACCAAAACCCACCACCACCACTAAAAAACCCCAGAGAACAAGTGATCATTTTGCCTGTGATTTATAGACACTGTTTGCAGCCTTCTCACTGACCCCCTCTGTCCTCTCACAACTGTCTCAGTTTTGGAAATCTCTTGTGACAGAAGAAAAATGAAATAAAGTCAGCTGCTGCAACGTTCCATTGGCCAAACTAAAAACTATTAATGATATAAAATCCTCAGCTAAGGTGTATGATAACCATATCTTCCAGAGCAAATCCTCATTACCCTAAGAGTGAGCTTGTATTGTGTAAACTCCCATATCCCAGACGATGCTCTAATAAAGAGCATGGTGTCTAATTCACAATGCAAGCTAATATGCGACTGTAACGAGGTGAACAGATCTTTGGTGTCATTTTGTTCATTTTAAAAAATACATTTTAATCCCTGCCCTTCAAGTCATTATTAAGCCTCACTTCACACCAGTGTTTTCTAAACTTTAAAAATGTAGAAAGAGAAATCTAAAAGTTTCTTGTCTTCTAAAATAAATTCTTCCAAATTCCCATTTAATTTCAGACCCATACTGTCAGTCTTACATTATCACAACTGGTTTTCCTGGATTAAAGGTACTATTTTCAAGTAGCATTCTTGAAAACAGATTCTTCTCCTTTCCTAGCCTTCCCCCCCCATTATTTTTTAGAATAACGGACCTGACATGCTAGCAAAGCTAACCTGGGATTTTGAGGGGGAGAAATTAGGGTGGTGGCTTTTTTTTCCCCCCACATCTCCTGAAAGGTCGTACTTGTCTGAATCAAATTTATTTTTAGCTTCTTGGCAACAGAGATGCCAATTCCTGTTTCTGTTGGTGCTTTCAATACTTTTGGCTTCTTATTGCAAAGTAGTTTCCACATTTCTAGTGCACTGTCACCTTATGCCCTTTGTGGAAGCCTGCTTTCACTCATCTACAGCAGTTGCATCCAGTTGAGTTTAGAAACAGGTTTGCTGTCTCAATCTGTCAGTTTTAAAGTTCGTATTTAAGAAACAGAACTTACAAAAAAAATTGACACCACTAGCTCAAAGAGTAGAGAACCGAAAAGAACTTTGCACCTCCAATTCATACAAGAGCAATTACTCTTGCATGTTTTCATATGAAAATAAAAATTGCATTGTTTCTTTTTAAGGCATGAGCTTCAAAAATGGAAAAGCACTATTATTTGCTGAATAACTGATCTATACTCATAAGACATAGTATTGTCAAAAGCCTACCTTTCTGGTAAATGTAATTGTTTCAGAAATTGTTGCATTTGCTGTGTTTACAGAAATAGAACATTAAATTCTCCACAGAGGAGTAGGCCTTCTCCACTTCCACAGGATATGATATGGTTTGGATTGACTCAGCAGCAGCTCTTGCAGTGACTTCCAATCTGGGACACATCTTTATTTCCAATCCAGATGAAAAAAAGCTTTCTCAAAAAGAAAGTAGGTGACAAGGTACAGCAATTACTCTTTAAAATATTAGAGAACACACTTTTTCACAGGATACACACAGGGTACAGTTTCAGCTTGTTACTTTCAATATTCACAGTAAAATACTTTTGAAAAATAATCTATTTAAGTGCAGTTTAGAGCCATCAAATGCCAGTTTTTGTTCTTCAGAAATATTTATAAGACACCAAATGCCATCTGAGTTACTCTTTTTGTGTTCAGACTCGCTCAACCAGTTTTGCACTACATCAATGCTGAAAGAGGTTTCTTGGAAAGCTTGGAGCTTCACAGTTTTCATCTGTTCCAACTGAAGCTCTATATCAAAGACTAAACACAAAGCTCCCGTGCTCTAGATCTGCAGGGTAAGACACTGATCATCAAGATAGCTTGGATAGTGAAGACACCATAATGCCCTTTGGGTTCGGGATATCCATGTTGTACAGTAAGACTTCTCTATTCAGACAGATTGTCCTGAACGTTTACAGTCACTTAAATTTGTGGAGAAGGAACAGTGAGGAGACCAGTGGGCTTGATCTTGTTGATTCCTCCATCTAGGATGCAGACCCTTGGGTACTTGTTTTTCACTAGATGAGCTGCAAACTGAAACAGATATATCATTAGCACACTGCATATTATAGTCCTTAATTCGAAATAACTTTGTGTTAAGTAAGGCAAGTTAAACAAAAGAAAAAATGATCGGACCCTAGAAGTTCCTTCTTTGCACCAACTAGTCCAACACAGGAACCCAGGCCTGTCTGTTGAAACAGCTGGAATGAATTTGGTGGTCACGAAAGTGTCACACTGATAACCCTGAACTTTATCTCTGCTTAGGCAGGATTTTACCTCATTCTAACAGGAATATTTAATCTCAGAGTAATCACTGGAATGCCTCTCAAAGCATGAAATAACAGATATTTTCTCTGCATTAATCTAACTCCCGGCTGTTTTCTGTAGGTTCCCAAGTGTATGAGCATCACAGTTTGATGGTATAGTCATTTGCTTACCTGTCAAACTTGTCTGATATGACTTGATTTCAGAGATGTCAGCTATGAATTTCAGGTCTAGCATGTGTACTCCCCCGCCCCCCCAGGTCCTTGAAAGACTCTCTCCTCAATTAATTGCTTCCATAAACTGAACACAGCAGTTGCCAGTTGATGAAGGATCAATATTTTATATATCAAAATAATAATAATGATGAAAAAAATCAAAATAACAAAAATTATGTATCAAATATCAAAATCCAAAACCAAAGGAACAATATTTTGTGTATCACATGTCAAACTTGCCTTTTAAATACTGACTACCATACATTAAAATGCAAGCCACCAAAATGGATTACTCAGAGAGAAACTATAATAGTCCTACTTTATTTCCAGTCGCTGTGAGGAAGACTGCCCTGCTGTCCCGGTCTTTGAGATTGTTGCTTTACACTTGGTTGACAAATTAGTATCATTTGTAAAATCACTGAGTGCTTCCAAATGGGCTATGTAAAACATTTGTAATTCCCTTTTTGACTCTTTAAAATGATTTGTGATACTCTTCCAGAACCTGTGCAAGGATGACGTCCAAAATAACTAATTTTGCACAAACAACTAAATTACCAACTCAAGAACAGCAGAAGGCACCCCGTCCAAACTTAGTACATGGGATTTTTTTACATTTACGTTCCTTCTAATTACCTGTGACAGTATAACAGATACTAAGGCAGAACAAGATGTACTACATGATTACCCGATCAAGTACAAGTCCTGAAATAATCTCTTTAACAGGCAAGAGTTCATAGTAGCAAAGTTTTAAACTTCAATAGCCAGAACTTTTGCTTCACACTGAAGGTATTTTATACATGCAAGGAATTTATTTCTGTCCACTTATGTGTCAAACATAGCTACTGCATTCCTTTCTCTGTGTTTCAGGATGGATTTAACCAGGGAGTGAGCAACTAGTACATGATCTGTAACCAGTGAGGACTTGTTGAGGCAGAGTAAGAGGTCACACCAGATCAGTCAGGACATTTTGGCTGTTACGTTTGTTTCAGGTACTTGCCTAAGGAAGTTCAGTCATCTCTTCCCCCATTAGTTTGGGTCAGTCAGTACAGGATTCAAAGGATCAAATGAAAAAATCGCCACAAGCAAACAATCGAAACAGCTAATAGTAAAGCTAGACCACATGTGGATGCCAGTTTTCATGAGAAAAGTAAACGCCATGCAGAGGTGGTATAATATGCAAAGAGATATCACTAGGAGAGTCCAACTACCTCTTGCTATAATCACAGTCCATAAAGATGTGGCGTATAGTACAACAGAGACAAAAGATACTTCTCTTTGTCAAAAATAGCACTCATCTGTGCATACCATGAGCTACAAAAATAGTATATATTCCTAGTGAAATACTCCTTCCAGACATCTCTACTTCATATGTACAGATCTGTCACCTCGCAGTGCTCTCCTGTGACTAATGAATAGTGCTCTGTCTTGGACACCAATGCTGCTCATAGCTGGCAGAAATGAAAAATGGCGACAAGAAAGCAGTATGTTATTTGCTGAGTACAATGTCCCATGTGTCAGCAGAGAGGTTCCACTCTCTGTCTCCTGATAATTTTACACTTCCGATAATAAACTGTAAACTGCTCCAAGTTTTTGGATGCCCTAGCCATAATATAACTACCATTCCATGTAATCTGAAAAGAAAATATGTAAACAAATGCTTTGTAGTTAGGGATTGAACATTAAGGCCTGTGTCCCAGTTTATTTTAGAACTGCTTTAGTAACCCTGGTATGGCTGAAAATAAATTTTCTTCACTGCATATGACAAGAGGTTCCTTGATAACTTTATGGTGAGGAATTTCTCGCTTCTTCAAGGGCCTCTGCAAAGCAAGCACTGCAGATTCTGTGGCTGTTAGCAAACGACAGGCAGAAAGCACAAGAGCACGACAAGATTAGATATGCAAGATGTACTGCCCTTTTTTTTTTTTTTAAGTTGTCACAGAACTGTGGAGTTGTCTACATAGCTTTGGTGAGAAAGGCTGCAAATACAGCTCAAAATACTGCATCTGAACATCCAGCCACGGAAAATCCAGTGAGCAGGGAATGTACCGCTATTGGTACCTCACTACTGTGGAATTAGCTGCAAGTCAGGGGCCCAGAGGCACATACATTGCCATAAGCTGAGAGCTGCCATCAAACTCCAAATACCAGCCTCCAAGAGCTTTGCACATACACCTGTCTCCACACTGCAAAGAAGAAAAGAGTCAAGGTTTAACTCATAGGGTAATAGGATCTGATCCGATTAAAGACATTCCTAGTTTTACCTTCTGCCTTCCCACATTATGGGAAAGTGGAAACAGTAACTTTTGGTAAAGAGTAGATTTAGAAGTAGTCTCTTGCTGGCATTGCTGTCTTCCTAATTAAAAGCTTTGACTTTCTATAGTTCTGTTCCTCAGTACATGTTTCTGCCTTTCTCTCCCAGACAGAGGAGTCTGTCACAGACAAGAACGGGAACTTGTTCACCATGTTTCTAAAATGTGCCAACACCACCTGGTATCTTTCCCTGCCAAAATACACTGAATGAAGCTAGTATTTTCAGAACATATCAAAGTGTTATTACTGGCACATGCACTGATGGAGGGGCATGAGAGGAAGGACTATTTGGAATAGCTACATAGACTTCCTCCCCAACGTGACCTTCATTTATGTTCAAATATCAGTAACTTAAATCCAAGAAATTAAGAAAGATAAAAACCCTAATGTTTCCTAAAAAGTTGAAGAAAATCGGTGATCCAAAAAGAGCAAAATGTCATGTTTTTCAAAAAAAGCCCAAGGTGCTCTTCTGAATTAATGCCACAGACTATCTACAGCAGAAACTGACACCTTGGACTTTGCACTTGGGCTCTATTTCCTTTATAAATGCTATCATAAAGCATCAACTAGAAGTTTAATAACAGCCATCTGAATACGTAATTTGTAGTCCACTACACCTAATTTACAGAGGTGATCTTAAGACAGAAGATAACATGGTGAGGAGACAAGCAAATGGTTACTTCATCCTTAGTAACCTGTAAACCACCTACTTTTAAAAGAGAGATTTATTGAAACATATGTGAAGTGGTGCACAACTAAATTTCCATTATACAGGTTGATTTTAAGTAGAAATGAACCTCTGTCATTTCTCAAATGTATCAAATGCTTGTGTTGACATTACTTCTGAGATACATCTGTTTCCCCATACCACCAATGGATCACAGTCCTCTGTAATGCTTCTGTTTTCATTTAGACAACACCACTACTTGGGGGAAACAGAGTTATGCTTACCTGAGGTAGAGGATTAAAGGGATGCCACAAGACTTTAAGCTTTTTCTTTTCTGCCTCAGGTGGCCTTTCCTCAAAATGTACTTCCCAAGAAAGTTCAGTTACTGTGTGTTTACTGGCTGCATCTAGCTTGAACTTCCTCGTGCTACTTTCACAGCAAATATTATGTATGAAAGGATAAATATGTGAGCAACTTGTTTAATGACTACCGTGTGATGGCTTTGGTGAAGACTCTGGAAACACTGTTCCTCTATTAAGTAATGCATCAATCTGTTCCACATAAAACACCCTTCCTGGTGAGTATAACTGAGCCAGGAAATTGTAATTTGCATTTGAAAGCAGTCAGCTAAGACTCTTTCATGCAAATACAAGAGGTCAGGCTTTCAAAGACAGACAAGATCACAGCAAATGCGTATCAAAATTTGGGCAAATATTAAACATTTTATCCTGTATTGGTGTTGCTCTCAATACAAAGAGTATAACAGGACTGCTCCTTTAAGTACCATCAAGAACCTTAATAATCTGCACATTGGAGCATTTATCAAGATGTTTCTACTACCCTGTTCCAAGCAGTAAAATCACAGCTTTCAAGTGTGCTGAATGTATTACACCAGGCACGTCACATTTTTAGACTGTCTACAACAAAGAGTCTAATAACACAACGGCTTGAGCAGCATCGTTCCCAGCACCCTCCAGGCTAGCCATCAGGGTTGCGACGTACACATTATTCACTTTCACAGACATTCTTGTGACAGGTTGTAATTAAAGTGCAAGTTGGAAGAGGAGTAACATACTGTACCAGAATACCAAAAAAGACTGCTGTGACAAATGTTACCAGGGTATAAATGTTAATATCGTACTTTGAAAGAGTCAGAAGAAAAAGAGGTACGTTAAAAGCTGGAGGAGAAATATCGACCAAATTTTGTAGTACTCATTCATTGCCACAAGATTATTATTAGTTTTTCATTTGTAAACACATGCTACGCAAACGTCTCGGGGACTGCAGTCTGTTTTGCTGTATGATTTCAGCCAAGAGTTCACACTCTGAAAGCACACCATAGTCAAGGTGATCAGTCTAGAGCTTTTTAAACAACACTTTCCATAAGCCACAAAGCAGACCCAGCACACAACATTATTTTTAGTTTACTTCTTATATTAAAGGGTTCCAGATAAATGAAATGGCACTTTAACACCAAGGGAAAGATAGGCACATAAAGCCTCCCATATCAACAAAACGGTGCCCAGTTGATGGTTACAGTATTAGCATAAACTGAATGGAAGCACAAAACACAAAAA